CTTGCTCATAGCTGTAGGAGCCATGTACAAGCATTGCAGCCAATACTTGCTTCTTATTATTGGTGGCAAGATTGTCAAACAGTGCCAACATCACTTACTCCAGACACAGATACCACAGATGGTGCCTCACACTTGTATAACTTAGTGTAACTTATTTATTATTATTTGGGAGAATTTGAACATTTCCCCCTTTTTACACTTTGAATTTTAAGCAGCATTACCAATTAATAAACATATTTTGGATCTTTTGGGAGATATTGTATTTGAAATTGTAAGAAATACATTGGTCAACTGTACACGTTGCTTTCAATTTTGTTTATTCTATATAGATCTGATTCTGCCTTTAAATACCAAGACACTCAAGTGTCATGACTACAGCATTTGATAGTATTTGCATAAAAGGAGCCTGAACATGGGTATATCTTTTAGATCTATTCATTATCTTTAAGAAAAGCAAATATATTGATAATGAAGTTAATCAGACCTAAGTGATATTAAAGGTAATGGCCCAATCAACATACTTTTTACTAAAAATGTTGACCTACATTTTACCAAAAATACAACCTTTAATTATACGTATTGTTGAATGCATAATTAGAATGTGTTTTGAGACATGTTCTATTTACTAAGAGGAAAAGTGGATTGCTCCAGAGACTTTAAAGATACTGAATTTAGTGACCAAAATGAACTGAAACCAATGGATAGCATGACTTTTTTCAATGGGGAAATGGCATTGGGAACACCTATCTTAGGGGAATTCAGTTTTCCTTTCAAGAGCTATTTGATACATTAAAATAAAGAATAGTAATACATTAAACATTGTAAAAAATGATTGCATTTTTGGTGAAAATGAGGTCAACAACTTTGAAAAATAAAATATTGATGGGTTGATTGCTTGCGAAATATCTCCGAGTCCAACTGACTTTATTATCCCTGTATACCTGTCTTCATGGTCAGAAAATAGTCATAATCAAAGATTTAACTGTCTGAAATTGTTTGCGATAACCTATGTGCTCCTTTTTTGTATTTTTGAAAAAAAATTCCCGATTTTTTGTAACAAAATTATTTCATACAACTCTTTACAGTTACATGGCTTTTTTAAGTGCAGGACACCTGAAAGTATTTGTAAAAAAAATAGAGCGATCATCCCAGGATTTTTTCTATGATCTATGTGTCGCCATAGCAACTTCTGTTTTAGAGACATTGCATGAACAATAAAAAAAAGATTATTTTACCATAATTTTAATCAATCCACATTGTAGACATATTTAGAATTAAAAATATGAAGAGAATGACAAAACCTCTTAAAACACATTTCTTAAAACACATTTCTTAGGAAACAAATAGTGTGGTATTCTTGTTACTATGGCAACAGAGTTTTTTCTTTTTGTCATTTTTGTCATGCAGATTACCTATCATACCAGGACCAAATCCTGAAGTCAGTATCTTCATTAGTATCTAAAATATATAGGTTTCTTAAAGCATCCCCTGCAGATTTTATTGGAATGTAAGGAAAATACTCTGAAGAGGGTTGCCCAAGATGCCACTTAACAGTTCTGGTATTTTTGAGGTCCCAACCCTCTATTCATGGGAATAGTTAACCATTGTAAAGCTACTCATAATAAACTGACAAAATTGATTGTATCTTCAATTAAGAAGTCAATAAAATGTTAAAACCAGAAGAAAACGGTCAACTTTCTTCTATTTACCAGGGGTAGGGCACTATAAAGTCATATTAAAAATTACAAAATAGTTCTTCATCACTATAATAGATGTATTACAATATCACACATAGCTTGGGAATGTTGTTAGAATACTACTTTGAGCTGTTAAAGTTATCATATTTTGCTTGAAGCTACAAATATAAAATTAGCAAGAAAGAAATGACAAAATTTGCATATCTTTTTCTAATTAATTGTATTTTTCCGAAACCAACAAAGATATCAACCTATAACTCATCTCTGTACTAACAATGTATGCTGTAGAACTCAGAACAATAGTTCATATATCCTTTGAGTTATGAACCAATATTATAGTACCCCAAGAATAATTTCCTAGGGTGGAAAAAACGCTAAAAATCAGTGTCATCGCCATACCGTTGAGCTGTCATCTTTTAATATCTTTATCAGCATGAAAAACTGATTCAGAAAAATAGGTCTGTTGCTTTTTCTAAAAAATGCCTCAAAAACCCTTTCCCTTGAGATATTCTGAAATTGGAACCTGTCTAATAGTGTAGAAGAATCTTTTGATATGTTTAAATTGAGAAAAACAAGATCCTCTTTTTAGAAAATAAGCCTAACATTTTTTTAAAAAGTGTCAGAGTGGGGCCCGGGCCCTAATCCATAATTTTTCAGAGAGTTGGATTGATATTTTACTATCATGGGGACTTCACTTGAAAGAAAACATATTGTTTTAATAAAAAATATTGTTTTATGACCAGAAAGTACTCATGGTGAAAGATATGACTGTCTAAAATCACTTGCCATACTGCACATGGACCTTTCAACAAAATCGCTTCACTTCTTTTTTAGTTAGTTTATTTCTTAGATCATGCAACATCGATATTCTGTTCCATATATGGGCAAGTCGTGATTCAAAATTCGAATTCAAACAGCCGCCATTTTGTTCACTTCGACATTTGAATCGTGAATCTTGGTCTTATTTTCTTACGAAAAATTCCAAATCTCATTATTAGTTTTGTAGTAGTAATTTTATTTGTGTCCCCTACCCCATTTTTCAATTTCGAGGCTATTTTTAGTCATTTTTCCATCTAAATATGCATGTTATTTACAAACTTGAGAACATATTTGCATCGAAATATTACAGAATTATTTGAAAAAATATTACAGAATTATTTGAAAAAATATTACAGAATTATTTGAAGTATGTAACTAATAAGCAAATTTCCCCCTGTCCATTAGTGTGATGAAAAATATGTTGTTCACATTAGGGTTAAATATTATGTCATGACCTAAAATCTAAATATGCCATGCTCTAAATATATTGTATATCTAATCAATGTAATGGATTAATGATGAAATGCTTTTTGACGTCATATTTTATTAGTAACCGAAGACATTAGTTTTTGCTTATTTATGATGATTAGAAAAGGGTTTTCATATTAAATTCTGAGGCTAAATGGATTGATCGACATGGTGATTGATACTAATGAGACAAGCTTCCTTCGTTGATCCAGGTCAGGAGGAGAATTTGCCTCAAAGCACCGACTGGGCATCGGACGCACACTCTCCTCCCAAAGTTTGGAAATTAGAAGTCCCATCAAAGACCGGTTGTTTATGTTTGACTATCTAAAAATCATATGTGATGGCTTTTAGAATGGTTATTAGTTCCGAATTATTATAATTAAAGAACAAAACGACGACTCAGACTTTTTTGATTTGCTTCCCAATGAAATCTCCAGTTGCCAAACTTATGGAGGGGAGCGTACATTATGTTATTGAGATGGAAGAGAATTCGCGAATGCAACTATCGCCCGTCGGCTACCGAATTAACCTATTATCTTATGAGCAACTCATTTAAGTACCAGTATGAATAGTATCTGCCACTATTCCATTCATATTTAAATGAGTTGGTGACTGTGATGTGACTTTAAAAACAGTGTCCCACTTGTGAGGTGTTCCACTTACAGACGTGTTCCACTTAGCAGGTTCTACTGTAGTTATGAAAACACTGAAGTGTTCAAATTGTTGGTCTGTTTATGAGAGTGTTCAATGGATGCTGTGTTAGAAAAATAATTTTTTATTCATTGAAGTGAGTGTTTTTCGGAATCTACGCAAAATCAGTTTTTTTTAATTTACAACAAAAAACTACCGCATTTTTTCAGAATCTACCGTGGAACTGCCGCATTTTCGAAATCTTTCGCAAAACTACCACTTTTCAGTTGTACAACGTGGTGAGAATTGGGCGTGTTGTTAGCTTTTTAAGTAAAGAAAGTTTGTAAATTGCATCTATTTTTGCTGTTATTTGTTCTCTCACAACTTTTATTTACATCATAATATACAGGGTGGTCCAAAAAATCATTCACATTTTTAATTGCCTAGCATTTTCTAACAAAAGCAAGATTTCACGTTTTTTTGGTAGACCTATCGTACAGACATGTAAGTTTGATGTGGTGTCAGTTTTATTATCATATACTACCATAATGTGAACACATATAAAATAGTTTAAAATGTGCTCAATCAAAGCTCATTGGACATATTGTAAAATCCCTGTCCAACATATCATTCTCCTGTTTGAATATTCTTTAGTTCATCTATAGTTTGAGGATTGTTTTCATAGATCCTGCATTTGAAGTATCCCCACAAAAAAATTAAATCTGTTTAGAGAATATATCTTGAGAATGTGCGGGTCGGGTGTGTAGGTGTAATCGGTAGCGTGTGATCATACAATAGGAGATGAGTCTGTCTTCAGGGAAGTAATGGTGGAGGTATTCAAGTGAAGTGGCATATAAATCAATGGAGAGAAGGACCATAATTTGAAAGGACCTCCTACCCTTTTACATCGGGATGAATATTCTTTTCATAACGTCAATGCATCAGTCCATGATCACAGTAAATGAACGTCCATTTAGTTTTTTTTAGTTTTCATGGTTTCTTTATTTTACTTTACAATATTAGCTCACAAATGACAGGGCCGAGGCTGAATTCAGCATTATTGGCCCTGTTAATACAAAGTATATACAAAATAACAACAAAAATGACTACCAACATGTATTGTATGTATGGCAGGAATGTGTTCAAACTTTATAATTATATCAATACATTCACACAAAAAGGTTGTAAAATGCTTCAACAATACTAAATAAATTACTACAGTGATTCAGCACCGAAGGGGTGGAAATCTTGTAACTAGTCTTGTCTTGGACCATCAAAAGGTTCAAGTTCCCCCAAATGAAACTCAGTACTTAACTGTCTGTAACAATGACCAGTTATTGAAGTCTGACACTTTTACCATATTGTGGTGCTCCTCTTTGAAAAACCTCACTTTGGTCTAACGTTGTAATTGCTGGATTCATCTGTAGATAAGACGCTAACATTTACCAGTCCACCCGGTTGGATATATTGTTCACCCTTTCTCATTTCCCCTCTAGACTCCTTGGTTCCTTGCCCCTGTGCGCCGAGTCGTGAACTTTTGTCGCTTTGAGCTTTACTCGTCTTCTTTTTATTACAGGTAAAAATAACTCGCAATTCTTTCAAAAAACCCTTACGAACGATACAATAGATGAAAAAGTTGACGGCAGAATTTGCCCTCATTGAAAACACAGAAGCTATGAAGAGGTAGTTCGAACTCCAATAGTAGTTATCGTATGCCTCCAAGGACCAAAATTGGGCAATTTTCTCTTCGTTTGTCTTTGGAATCCAGAGCACCAATCGCATGCCTTTCAGTGCTAGTCTTGGAATCAGACAAATAATAAGAATCGTAGAGACTGAAAGAAGAGTCATCGTAATGTCCCTCTCTTGTCTCGAATGTGTGTTAGCCCCAATCTGAATCTCCACTCGCGCTCTCTTCGCTCGGTAGAGATCCCGAATCAACATTATATTCAGTATGAAGACGATCAATATCGGTACGACATTCTTAAACATGAGATTCAAAATGAATCCGTAAATCAACTGATAATAGAAGTTCTCTCCAGTGTCCGTGAAGCTTAATACGTATTCGAATTTCCTGCTGCACATATTCCTCGCCCAGGCCATCTTCCACTCAAAGAACATGGGAATATGGTAAACGATAGACATGATGAAAACAGAAAGACAGAGAACCCTTGCTCGAAATATTGTACATAATGACACTGCCCTCAGAGGAAAGCAAACAGCTACAAAACGGTCAACGGTCACCAGAACTACTAGCCAGACGCTTGTCATCTGTAGCATATACCCTATTGTAGATACATACGGATATGCAAAGCTGATGTTATGCGACATCGCTCCTACGGACTTATCCATCCAATATGTGTGTCCATATATCCAGTATAACACTTCACTTATTCCATTCCAAATGAGATAGATGCAATCATTTACAGCGAGGCAACGCATTGTGAACACGCTGGTATTCTGTTTCTGTCGAGAGAGTACGATGTATGCGAGAATGTTACTAACCGCACCGATGGCACAGATAAAAGCCGCGACGTAAATCTGCATTACACGGGCGTGATCTGCGAACGGTAGTTTGAGGCCCGTAACTGGATCACCAACTGGCGGTGTACACTTAGCATTCTGAGTGTTAAAAACCAATGTTCTTACCAGTTCAGCATACTCAGACCATTTTATGATGATTTTTGTTTCATTAGTTACTGTATCTATAGTATCATTATCAATTTTAAAAGTATAGAACTTAATGATGCCTAATTTCGCAAGTTTTGTTAACAAATTCATAAAATATCCGTATTCCAATATAAACATTTTGATTGGTTTGACAGACGTGCTTACATTAACAGTGACGGTGTCATCTACTTCTTTTGTCATGTCTTCATTTCCATTCATCATATCAGTTATCGTTGTAATATTTTGCGCTCCATCTGGTTTACGGATTGTTTCTACAGTTGTTGTGTCACTGCGGCTACCATTAGCTTGCATGTCACTGTTGCTAGTTTCAATTGTCGCGTCACTGTTGTTGGTTATGCCTTCCAATGTACTGTTCAGTTCAATTTTTGAGATATTCAAATACATATCAACTTCTCCATTTGGAGGGTCCTTCTTGTTAAACCCTGATTCATTCATAGATGACACATCTTTGACTGTGGTCCCTACTACGAGAAAATAAAACATCGTGAACACTCTTGCATCGAGTCTTGTTTTCATCTTTCTGTAATAACCGGCCAGACAATGTCAAAGTTTATTGAGATATTTATGAAACCGATTGCTGTGTTAATTCGCCTTCAGTAGTATGTTTCGTCTTTTGAGAACTCTGTCTGTCGGTGACAAAGTCGTCACTTTTTATACTCCTATTAAACAGAGGCGTGTAGCGTACAAAGCTGTGGCATCAGCAGTTGTTGCATCTATCATGGGAAATGATACGCATGCATCTGCATATATTACCGAGTAGATTATTTTAATTTTCCATAGCGTTATCGAAATGAATTATGATAAGGTCGTATAACTATTTGTATCTTGGATTGAATGAATTTAAAATATATGATTGGACAATTTATCCTCGCGAGACACATTAATCATTTTACACTGCACCAAATATTGTACGTACGTATACGTATACATGTACTGTACATTAAATTTCAGTATGTTCATGAATGTTATACCACGGACCTGAAGTGGTTATACTTTCTAGTTCAATATTTTTATTTCGAGACTGTTGTATGATTGAGCAATTCAAAATAACTTCTTATTTATAACAGATAAGTAACGAGTTCGCAATGTATTGATTTCTCATTTTCACCAGTTAAGTTATCGTTCACGACTTTTAATGCAGTTTCAAAAACATGCTCTACACTTGCTTGCTTGCGAACATACAGGGTGGGCCAAAAACCACCCCCCTATCCGATATCCCTGATAAAGATTCATTCCTTAACATGTACACCAACAATGATATATCATTTTAATGATAATTTAATTTGCAACAAAATGATATATAATAGAACAATTTTCAACAACCCTGGTTCGAGATATAACCATTTATGTGACATGGGGGTCAAAAAACACCTTTTCAATTTTCATCAATTTAGCGAACATTAGCCTATTTCTACCAAATTTTACTATTCAGTTAAAAATTGCAACATTGTCATGAGTCTCCAATAATTGGATGTTTTCATTTAGTTTTTGAACCATGCATGCTCAATAAACATGTGTATGCTTATAAAACAAATTAATTTCTTCTTAAATCTGTCCAAATATGGCTCAATAGACCCACCACTCGGACCAATCCTCTGATTGGATTATTCCCTAAAGAACCGAAAGCCATTCGTATAATTGATGGATCTCTGTGGAAGTACCATCAAACTCGTAATTATTCATTCTTTCAGTTTGTCTACATCCCTGATAGGCTAGTGATCTTCATAGACCAACTGTTCTAAATGCCCCAAGTGCTATACATGTAATCAACAGGATAGACTCTATATATCAGTAAGCAAAAATAGGGACATATGCGATAAAAGGCTACTCAAATCGAGGTGACATTTTTCTGAAAGGGTAGTGGTGTCCACTTCGTGTTTCCCAAAAAGGAAAGACCGTACAGGCCCTGTTTTGTTGAACCAGGAGCAAAAATATACTCTGAATATTAATGACATGGGGTGTTAAAAAGGACTCCTCAAGGATATAAAAAACATGTGAAAGGAATTTCATTATCTGATAGGAAGGTGCTTCATCACACAGGTCCAGTGCTACCCTGGAGTTTTTGGAGATTCGAAATGACACCATCTCTAGCCCGGACAAATGCTTTCTGGCAGTCCAGATGCCAATAATGTTGATTACCATACCTGGGGGCATCTAGAACAGTTGGTATTTAAAGATACCCAGCTTATCATGGATGTAGAGGTACTAAAAGAAAGAATAACTAGCAGTTGAATAGTACTTCCGCATACATCCATCAATTATGCCATCAACCAATGGCTTCCGCATATTAAGCGAATAATCCCATCAGAGGATGGGCCCAGTGGGTGGGTCTATTGAGCCATATTTGGACAGACTGAGGAAGAAATGAACTTGTTTTATAAGCATCCACATGTTTATTGAGCATATATGGTTCAAAAACTGAATGAAAACAATATATAATATCCGATTATGAAAGACTCATGACAATGTTGCAATGTTGAACTGAACAGTAAAATTTGGTAGAAATAGGCTATTGTTCGCAAAATTGATGGAAATTGAAAAGGTGTTTTTTGACCCCCATGTCACATAATTGGTTATATTTCTATATGGGGTTGTTGAAAATGGTTCTATTATATATCATTTTGTTGCAAATTAAATTATCTTTAAAATGATATATTATTGTTGGTGTACATGTTAAAAAATAAATAAGTAAGTAAAGTAAAGTAAGTAAAGCTAATTTTGCTCTCAAACTTTTATTTTTTGTCATTTATCTTTCAAATTTTCAGTGAAGAAGCATTTGACATTTTTCTTACTACCCTGAAAAATTAAATAAGATATGATGAATAATAGCAAAACAATGGTTGTCATAGTAACGTGAATACGGGTTCTGCGGAGCAATTTCTTACTTTAATAAAACTGTTATAATACAATGAAATTGATTAAGATTAATGCTGCATATGTCTTTGTTTGCTATGGCTGAAAGTCACGACAAACATAACAACAACATACACAAATATGATACCATGGCAACAGTAGTCTGTGACATCACAGACAGATGATACAACAGATGGAATGATCCAGAATGATCCATCAGACACTGCTCCATGACATCATCAAAATCATGGCTGCCAGGATTGCCAATGGAAGCAAAATGAACAATGAAATGAAACAACAATTGAGAAGTAGCATCAGATACAACGTGTTGCTAGGGAAATCCAAGCAGGATACCATTAGGGATATCCAAAAAGCATATGGGGACAGTGTGCCTAAGTACACAATCTACAAATGGTATCAGAAATTCCAAAAGGGGAGAAAAACAACAAGTGATGAGCCAAGGTCAGGGAGGCCAAAACTTCTAACCAAAGAGGCTAACATGAATCATTTGAGGCAATTGTTAGATGAAGACCGCAGTATAACTGTTAGGGAACTCTCAGAACTAGATCTAACCAATATCAGCCTAGGATGGGTACATTATCTGATTCACAATTCTCTAAATATGTCCTTGGTGTCTGCGAAATGGGTACCAAAGAATCTGACCGACGAGCAGCGTAGAAATCGCCTGGAAGATTCAGTTGCATTCTTGCGCCGTTACAAAGATGAGGGAGAGGACTTTCTAAACAATCTTCTCACTTGTGATGAAACTTTTGTTCGATACTTTGAGCCAAATAGTACAAGACAGAACAGTGCGTGGCAAACAAAGAACTCTCCAACACCCGTGGGGATCGTTGCAAAGCTAGCTCTTGGAGCATCAGCGGGGAAAGTCATGTTTATCATTTTAAATAGACATCGAAGGTCCATTGTTGGCTCATGCCGTGCCAGAAGGGCAGACTGTTAACAAGGAATATTATGCCATGGTAATTACATTTTATGAAATATATCTTTCTAATAATTAGCTTGGTTTGAGTACTAGGTCTACCTCTAAAATAATACAAAGAAAACATTTTAACTTAAACATCAAATGATCAAATTCACATTTCATTTTCAGGTGCTGCGGCGCCATCTTGTGAACGCGATTCGCAAGAAGGACTCTCAACTCCTACATATTCCATCAAGATAATGCGCCATCGCATAGGTCGCAAATGGTGCAGGATACTATCCAGAAAAAGCTGGAGATGGAGGTTCAAGGCCAGTCAGCGTATTCTCCTGACAAGGCACCGTGCGATTTTGGGGTATTTTCATGTTTGAAAAATGATCTGCGTGGTAAGATCCACGCAAATATCCATGAGCTTCAGAATGCCGTTCAACGTTCGCTGACAAAGAACTTTCCAGATGGCTTCCACAGGATATATCAGAAGTGGATAGAACGACATCAGCTGTGTGTGAAAGCTAAGGGGAACTACTTTGAACATAAAATAGAATGCTAACTTGAAAGTAGAAATGTGGAGTAGCCACAGAACTATGGTTGAAATATAGACAGGGCAGAAACTAACGTTAACAAAATCTACTATGCTGTGAACTTATAAAATTGCTCCGCAGAACCCGTATTCGCGTTACTATGACAACAACCATTTTGCTGTTATTCATTATATCTTGATCATTTTTTCAGGATAGTTAGAAAAGTGTCTGATGCTTCTCCACTGAAAATTTGAACGATGATAGACAAGAAATAAAAGTTTGAGAGCAAAAGTAGCTTTACTTACTGAACGCCCTGTACAACTGTTATTTACCATGCTTGTGTTTACATAAAAGTATAAGAAGAATTAGACATAAAAAATGATTCAATCTCTTGCAGGGTGATTTTGAAGAACATAACATTATAAATCATAAAATGTTATAACATATGTAATTACGATTGTATGAACTGAAGCTCTGGTACGTCAATTTAACAATCATACCGCGGATGAATAATTTCTAAATTTCTAAGCTTCCAGAGAACATATAAATACATGTCAATTCGAATTAATGGATTGTAGATATAATTAATAAGTACTACTAGATTAGTACTACGTGATTGCTTGGAGTCTAATCCAATTGTTAAAGGTGTAACGTTATATTTACGTTATTACGTAACCTTTCTATATAATTACGTATTACATATGTTATGTTAAAAGTCTCGAGGACTATATATACTCAATATTTATTTTCACATTACATGCGACTTAAAAAACAAGCATAAGCATTCTCTCATTGTTTTTATGGTGTCGAGATACATCTATCAAAAGCTTCGTTTGAATCCCAGTTACATTGACAGGATTCCGCGTCATTTGGAAGGCACTGTTCCTTACAATAGGAATGCAAGTAGAAACACCTGCCTATTGTATAGTCATATGGGCAAGATCGTTCCCCACATGGTGAACCTCCCCCAACAGTACATACCTTAATAAAAATTATTGAAAATATTATTAGAAAACCTATATATATCAGATGGCCTTGAGAGCATGCTAGTGGACAGGGAAATCAATTTGGGAAAACACCATAGCCTTAAAAATAGATTGCCAGTCATTAACGGTATGGTATTTCTATGACCAAATATCTTCTCACACTGATCAATAATATTCCAAAATTGATTAGACTGTTATTAAAGATGAAAACGGGTTACTTACGTCACAACCGCAATTGTTTTGATAGATGCCCTCTTCTATACCCCTTTGCTGCTCTGGAGTGAGATTGCTCCATGGCGAATGCCAGTCACACAGGTACACGGTCGCGCTACCATCCACATTAACACGCCCTAAGAAAATTGCAATATGTATTTCAGAAATGCATTTGGATATTTATAACTAATCTAGCTGCAATCTCTTGTGACCCGCCCCCCCCCCCACCTAATTTCTCACATGGAAGCTGTTGAGATGAGTAGTGGGGGTCACAAGGGCTTGTAGTTAGACTAATTTATCACTCGGCTGTCATCGAATCCCTCTCCAACCCAAGCAATGGTTTGATCAAATATTTTCATTTGATGAAAATCAGTTACATTTAGACATTCATAAATGTATATATTTTTTTATCTCTGATCTGAGCAAAATAACATCTTGCTAATGAGCGAGGTTCACACGTGATATACCAACAAGTAAATATGATGATTCAAAATAGTTAGGTAATATTTAGAAATAGTGAAAAATGCATCTAGCATATACCGGTGAGAAGATACTTAGTGTTGTTAATCAGGTGTGTGCCGCACAATGCTTCGTGTGGGGCTGTGGTAAAATTCTGCTTGTTTGGAAACTGGGGTCCCTATATAAAACACGAGTTATTATCTCAGAATGGTACGAAGCCCTATAAGGGACATACATTTTTTCCGGAATTAAGAATTTTAGTTTTAATTAAAAAATTTCCTTGAATAATTTTTTTTCAATTTTTTTAATTTAAAATTTTAGATGAATTTTCACCTCGGTGAAAATTATTTCCACCTCGGTAGAAACTAATTACTACACGTAAAAAATAATTTCCACCGCCGCGGTGGAAATTATTTTCACCGCGGTGGAAATTAATTCAAAAAACGAAAATTCTTAATTCCGAAAAAAAATTTATGTCCCTTATAAAGCTTCGTAGAATGGGGTGTTTTTGCGTGCAAATGCTGCGATTTAAACTTAGGTTCTTCGTGTCCAAATAATTGAGCTTTGGAAAGTGTAGGAATGATGTGCATTTTCTTTTACCCAAATTATTTATTATGTACACTATCTAATGCATCTCCTTGTCTGAATGCATTCTCCTTTTGTAACTTACAATGTTTTCTTGTTTTATAATGTATTTAAGTAAATTGATGTGTTGAATGTTGATATAGAGTTTTACGAAGCGCCTTAATAGAATAATTAAAGTCAAATTACTTTATATTGGTTTTCAATCTCCAACGTGAAAACTTTTTCTCCTTCATTTGGATTATCTGGATTGTATCCCGGAAAATAGAAGTCTGTAGTCGTACCAACAACAACTGTTAAAAAATATGACAAATTTTATAACATATTGGTTCATATGAAAACAATTGTGCACCTATGATAGAAAATAAAGTATAATCTTCTCCATGACGTTTACTACTCTGAAGCCATTAAAGACATTCATTATTTCAAGAACCTATTCTTATTTTACAAGGTCTCTGCTTGAAAACCACATAGATGCGAAACATCGACCAATTTACAATTATTTGTATTTAAATAAATTATAATTTTGATATGACACGTTGAGTTTTTTTCATGGGATTTGCTTTATCGACGCATGGACCTCTATCCCTATGATTGATGAGACTTTGAAACCACTCCTTCACTAACTAATTCCTTAGAGACCTCTATTTGGAAACATTAAACATATTTTCTTTCTTGTACATCCTAAAATGTGTATGAAATAACTACATGTGCCGAATGATGGACAAACTGACATACTCATCCGACCTTACCATAGCCCGCTGCACAGTACTGCCACTGCGGGTGCCGAGGGTAACAGCTACATGCCCCGCTAAAACCTACAAGACAGAGAACAGACGCCAACAGCAACAGCATTTTGCATTTGTGTCAAGGTAAGTGTGAAACTTCAATACGTTGACAATTTATATTACTTTATTTAATCATTTGATTAATTATCATAAGTCATAAACTCAAATTATGACCTCTACAAGTGCAACAAATTGAAGTACATCCACTGGAGAACGATTAGACCCAGTATAAGCCTGTTTTGGGATGAAAGATCGCAGTTTGATCCAAACAATACACAAAGAGTCAATACATGGCAAAAATGAATATATTTTCTTATGTGGTTATCTTAATGGCTATACCCCTAGCAAAAGTACAAGTATGAGGTATTATAAGCAGTTTCTTTAGATCATAGTTTGGGATAGTTGTTAATACATCGAGTTAATATTTATTAACGTTTGTCAGATTTGAGACAGAAAAAGATGATGGATTGTTAAGAAAGAATATTAATCTCCTTGTTGAGTTTCAATAATGCCATGGTTCCATAACAGTTGACATTACCTTGTTCGTCTTGCTTCGCCGTGAAGTTGAGGTAGCAAATGTTATTTCACACGTTTTGTAGTGCTTAACATTCAATTAAAACTGTAATAAATTACAGGCTATATATTGCATAAGGTACGTTCACACCAACGGCGAATGCCACGCTTTAAATCGGCGAGCAAAGCGCCGTCATTTTTGTCATTTTTCTTCATACCAACGGCGCTTTGATGGCGCTTTAAAGCGGCTTGTAAAGCGGCACCAAAGCGTAACAAAGCTTGACTAAAGCGTCGGGGTCGTAATAGATCGTAGAAAAGCTCAGAGTAAAGCGGGATATTCGGCAAGAGCGCCAAAAAATTTTAAACTTTTTAAAAAATTTGGGCGCTCTGTTACGAATCGATTAAGCGCCGAGGGCGAATCAAAGCTTAACAAACCGTAACAAAGCTCAGAAAAGCTTGATCCAAAGCGTAGGAAAGCTTAACATAGCTCTAAAAGGTTCCTCACGCTTTGATCCCGCTTTGATCAGGCTTTGTTACGCTTGAAATCACGCTTTGATAAGCTTTGATAAGCATTATTACGCTTTGATGCGATTATGACGCTTTAAATCAGGCTCTGATACGATTGCAAAACTCTGTTGTGCATTGTTACGCTCTGTTAAGCTCTGTCACGCATTGGAAAATGTCGAGATCGCCGATTCCATGCCGCTTTTGATCCAATGACTATATAAAGATGCAGTAGATCCATAAAACCATTGCATCTTTGACTCGAGAACACGATGGCAGAACAACGAGATCCAGAAATTCCAGATGGACCAGAGCATGACCTATCTGAAGAAGACATGACGTTTGTCGCACGGCGTGATATAGCGTGTGGAAACTTGTCAAGCGTACAGCAAAGCGTTTCAATCCTTGATTAAAGCGTCTTAATTCGTTGGAAAGCTTGAGAGTCCCTCATGAAAGTGGAACAAAGAGTGTCAGATATTGATGAAAGCGTCTGACCTCGTGTCAGATCTTCATGCCAGATCGTAGCAAATCTTGACACATCTTAACGAAGCGTGTCAAGTGGTAACAGACCGTGAATAGACTGGGGTCACCGCTTTGAACCAAGCTCTGTTAAGCTTTCCTACGCTTTGAGTCAAGCTTTGTTGAGCTTTGTTACGGTTTGTTAAGCTTTGATACGCTCTCGGCGCTTCAATCAATTCGTAACAGAGCGACCAAAATTGTTAAACAGTTTAAAATTTTTGGCGCTCTTGCCGATTATCCCGCTTTACTCCGAGCTTTTCTACGACCTATTACGACCCCGACGCTTTAATCAAGCTTTGTTACGATTTGGTGCCGCTTTACAAGCCGCTTTAAAGCGCCATCAAAGCGCCGTTGGTGCGAACGTAGCTTGAACAGTTTACATTTTAAGTGCTCTTGCCGAATATCCCGCTTAACTCCGAGCTGTTATACTACCTATTACGACCCCGACGCTTTAATCAAACTTTGTTACGCTTTGGTGCCGCTTTACAAGCCGCTTTAAAGCGCCATCAAAGCGCCATTGGTGTGAACGTAGCTATATTGAATGAAGTTTTTTGAAAACGACTAAGGCTATTTTGAAATAAACTGCATTTTCTATTTCTGAAAAAGTTAGCCAGGTGTTAATCGCATCGTCGGTTCCGCTCAATCACTACGTTCTATCCCGTGGGTTCATATGACAAACTTGAGACCGAAGTAATATGTTGCGTCTCATTAGTAGAAATGCTTCGCGGAGTGCGCGGGATAGTCCGTGCGCCAATCACAGTTGAGGGAACTATTTAAATTAGGCCCCTAAATCAGCATTCAGAAAATAAAATGGAGGAACTGTTTGAAAAGATTTGCGGCAAATTTCATCTGAATTCTTTACAACCCTATCAAAAAGAAGCGATAACGGAAGGCAGGGATGTATTCGTGTCCCAGAAAACTGGACAGTGAAAGAGTTTGATGTATCAAAGTTTGATAAAAAAAATAAAAAAAAAAGTTTGATAGAAGTCAGTTATTTCACGGGCAAAATTTTAAACCAGATTATTATCATCGTGGAGCCCTGTCCTATGGATAATGATATTCAAGATAGCGCATCATCTGGGGTTTGTTTATTTAGTGTATATCTAATAATTTGCGGTGAATCAAGGTGAGGATAGGTCCGAAGCTTGATGAAGCAAGATGTGTTAATCGTTTTACCATGCTTGTGTTTACATAAAAGTATAAGAAGAATTAGACATCAAAAAATGATTCAATCTCTTGCAGGGTTATTATGAAGAACATAACATTATAAATCATAAAATGTTGTAATATGATTTTTATGAACTGAAGTTCTGGTACATTAATTTAGTATTCATACCGCGGATGCATAATTTCTAAGCTTCCAAAGAACATATAAATATTAAATACATGTTGAAATAAGTCATTGATTTGTGGTTTAGTCGTTTATGGGTACTGTAATGTTGACTTATTAATTGCTGAAGTGCTATGACTTTTTTGGAATTGTCCTTTAGCTCAGCTGTTGGTGTTTAATATTTATAATGTTCAATGTTCATCAGACCAAACTCCCTTACATCAAGTGTAACATAACAAGTCAGTTATTCTGTCCAATCCAAGTATATTGTATACGAATATTTCTTCATTTTAAATCACTGAGTTCAAGCTTATTCATTAGTCTGTTTCAGTTACTTGGCTTCAATCCATTCACAGAACCTGGGCCGAGAGATCTTCAGACTTCTAAGATCTTCAGACTGTGCTAAATATAGCCCCAGCCTTAAGTTCAACCAATGAAGGCATCAGGGTTTGAAGCCAAGTTAAAGATGCAGACTTACATCAAAGTTACATATAAGATTATATAGCATGCTACATACAATAACACAAGTAATATACAAAGGGTGGTCAAAAAAGGAAACCCTGCATTTTCCTTATATCTTTGTCACTTTAAAGAATTACTCCCTGGTATTTCACACATTTGTACATCATTCAATTTCCTACCACCCTACCATATTTCATGATCATCAGACTGATAGTCACAATTCTACAACACTTTGAATAACATGCTTCAGATTTGGCCATTATCGCGTTGGAGGCAAAACAGCACAGTTGTCAATGACCCGAATGCATTCCTCAACAAGTATGGCCTGAATGACACAAATGATCTCACTTTTGAGGTTTGCAATTGTCTTGAGGTCATTCTCATATACTCTGTCTCTGCCATATCCCCCTGGTAGGGACATTTTAGACGATGAGTACAGGTTTCCCCACAACGCAATAGTGGCCACTGGGCATGCTCTTTAAAGTACTGTAACATTGTGAATATCAATCTTATGGTCATGACATAAAGTAGGCTGGTAGCTAATTGAATGATGTACAAAAGTGTATAATATCAGGGAGTTATTTTTTAAATTGACGAAGATATGAGGAAAATGGTATTAGGGTTTCCATTTTTTTGACCACACTGTATCATAATCCAGCACCCTCAAAGGGTAACACATGTCAAAATTCAAATCAATGAATTGTAGATAGAATTAGTTAGCTACGTGATTGCTTGGAGTCTAATCCAATTGTTAAAGGTGTAACGTACGTTATTACGTAACCTTTCTTTATATTATGTAATGCATATGTTATTAATATTTATTTGTTCATTTATTTACTTATTTATTTATTATGAAGTATTAATTGTGTGTGTTGTTATACGAGGATTGATCATAAAGTTCTCAGAATATCTCTCTAATTTTTTTTTATTTTTCAATATTTTCTGATGAACTTTTCACAGAATGTGCAGAATGGAATGTTTTATTAATCTAGGAAAAATATTTAGAATAATAGAAACATTAGATAAGAAATGGTCGCCATAGTAACTTGAAATCAGGGCACCCGGGGCAAATAAAAAACCCTAGCTAGACATTAACCATGTTTAAATACATAATAAGTTGTCGAATATGCTATCAAACACATTAAATAGTCAAATAATATGTGCTCTTGACTGTTGTGAACTATTATGATGGATGATTAATATGCTTCATAAGAAGTGACTGTTAGACCCTATGACTGTTTTGTCAAATATCCAGACTGCAGAGGAAAATTGATTTGCCACTTTAGTTCATTTTTAACATGTTCAGACAACACACAGGGTGTAATTTTGAAGATATGTACAGGGTGTCAAATAAGTCCCGCCCCTCCCCTACAGCAAAAACCAAGATATTTGGTACCAAGTGTGATATAGCATTGGAAAGGTCTTCCAAAGTTACGTTGATTGGCACATATCTGACACATGTCAATCATTCTCACAAATTTTAAGATTGCATCAATTGAGGTGACCATATGCCTAGAAACGTAGCAATATGGCGTATTTGGCAGGATTTTAAGAATCGGGAATAAGAAAGGTCAAGGGGCCAAAATATGACTAAATATGTTCATGGCGATGAATTTAACCAATTTCTGGATAGGGTTAGATGTGTAGAAAATAGAGGTGCAAGGAAAGTGGTGAAAACCTTTTTGTAACAAGCGGAATGCGAAAAAGATTAACCTTTTAACATATTTCTGAGGTCATATCCTTGTTATTTTGACGCAAAAAAGCTACTTAAAAGAGGGCACGTTAACTATAAAAGACATCATAAAATATAGGTAAATT